CCTAGTACGTTTTGGTTGTTTGGTTTTTCTAGGCACATGTTAGGTTTATTAGTTTGCCAAGCCAAGCTCTCTAGCGTAGTGCAATGGCTAAACATATGTTATGATTGCGCGGAGATTAAACGAGCTGTTGGCAGCCAAGAAGTTGAAGAAGGCGAACTCCTTGGTGGATCCGGGTTCAATCCTCCCATAAGGGGGGGGAGTAAAGGCCATCAGGTATCACTGTCGGAACTAAAATTAAACTGCTTGATCAGCACGTGAGACAAAAACCAACGTTTCTGCGTTCGCACATAGTCTGGAATGTGGATCGAACCGTTACCATATTACGAAGAGCGTTCGCAATGCCTAAGCCACAGACGCAGACTTCTCTTTATAGAATGTGATAATTCTTTCAAAAAAAAAAAATAATAATAATTGGTAATGATGGTCGATCACGAGACTGTCTAAAAAGACGGGGGAGAATTGAACTTAACTTTTCCACATCTTGGTGTTTCATACATCGTTTGTAAATTGGTGTGCTAACACACACACACATTTTGGGGCTCAAGCGACCTAACGCTCAGTTTCCAGCACCTATCCTTATCACGTGGCCGAATCATTTCCATGATATTTATGACTAGGTATTTCCCGTCACACAGATGCACGAGTCTTCAGTTTAACTATCGTTGTAAAGATAGATTTTAAATAGTCTTCCCGCTTACACACTGGGCAATGTCATCTCTGGGCAATGTCATCTCTGGGAAATGTCATCTCTGGGCAATGTCATCTCTGGGCAATGTCATCTCTGGGCAATGTCATCTCTGGACAATGTCATCTCTGGGCAATGTCATCTCTGGACAATGTCATCTCTGGTAAATGTCATCTCTGGGCAATGTCATCTCTGGGCAATTAAAGGAACAAGTCATACAATTTGCCCCGTCGTGATAACGCCAGTCTTTCTGTCTCCCCACCCCTTCCCCAATGACACTGACATGTTATTTCTGATCAGGAAACAACACATTCCTGATAACACATGATGTATGTGTATGTGTGTGTGTGTGTGCCTATGTATATCCTCTTGCATTCCTAAACACGAGACAAGATCAACACTGGCACGGTGACTGTTATTGTCAGTTGAAACAGACGCACACATGAAGTATCATCAAGGTAGGCTGGTATTCTATTTGAAGTCGTTGCAAGTCACGTGAGGTTGCTGGATTGCTGTTTAAAATAAGCGCCGTCGTCAAATAGCTTATGCTAATTATGGGGTCGCTCGACCTGCACCCATCTTCTCCTTGGCCTTCCTCTTCCTCTCTTCCCAGGTATATACCCCTCCATTATTGTTCTCTCAAGACTTCCATGACGTTTCAAGTGACCAAAATATTTCAATTTTCTTTGTTTTATTGTCTTTACTAGCCAACCCTCTTCAATATTCAGCTCTTGAAGTATGGATGCATTTGTTCTTTTCTTTACCCAAGATGATTCTTAGAACCTGTCTGTAAACATTTATATTCAAACACATGATGCATTTATGCGCTGTTCCGCTTGTTTAGTAAGTGTCCAGGTCTCACAGGCGTATGTCGCAATGGGAAAGATGCATGCTCTTAAAAATCTGACCTTTGTAATTCTATCTGTACAATTCCATAATTTATTCAGTTGTTTTAGTCTTTGAAGAGCAATTGATAGTCGCCGTTTAATTTCTTTCATTGTGTCACCATTGTTGGTAACCACTACAGGCAAACATAAATGTGACTTCTGTCGGAGATACGTCAGTTAAGTGATTTTGTGTATCCATATTCCTCCTTGTAGTAAAATAGATTTGGCCTGCGTATGTGCCGAGGAATGCTTTCTAACCGCAGCGTTCACTTGTCGTTTGTGATATTGTGAAGCTACTTATATACTGTCTTCTTCTTCTTCTTCCACAATAAACCTCATTCGATGGGGGAGGGGTCCTCGTAGTTGGTAAAGCAGCGCTGTATCTCGGCATTGTCAGCTGTCATTCATAAACAACATCAGGCCTCATAAGCTTCAGCATGCGGAGTAGCCACACAGAGGGGAGCAAAATATGGAGGATATCAAATCAAAACGACTTGTAGAACAAGTCAGCTTAACAATATCACACACGACAAATGAACGTTTGAGCTAGAAAGCCTTCATCAGGACATGAGATGAGCTGACAGTGTAAATTTTACAGATAAGAATACGCAGAATCATTTAACTGGGGTCTCTCTAAGACAAATCAGTGTATGGAAGGGCAGGGGTGACGCTGCAAGGGGATGGCCCTAAATAGGGCAGCTTGATATGAGGTAGCTGAAAGTCTGTGCCCTAATCTGGATACAGAACGTAAGATGTACTATGTAATGAGTCATTTTCTCATTGTTAATTAATTTTCTCATTTGTGAATGAGGTTACCTACATTATTGCCCGAGTTTGGTTGAATGGTATCGTTTATGAGTGTAATGTTTACAGGAGGAGGATTGAGTAACGAATAAAAAAGTAAAGGACCCTTTTCCACGCCTTTAGGCTATATAGGGCTAGACCTGGATCGACCTGGGTCATTTTTTGAAGAAAGTCTAGCTCCTCCAGGGAGCGAATCCACGACATTCCGATCCGCGGATTGCGTTTAGCCGCTGCGCCACGGAGACTCTCGAGTAACGAATAACTCGAAACAAATGTGCAAGCTGTGTGAAAATGTGCCAGATGAGAGAAAGCATGAATCTTGCGGGAAACGTTCGAGAGCTCGAGAGGGAAACATTGTTTTAACTTGGAATAATCGAAAAGATTCAGTCATTTTGTGAGGTTGAGAAAGCCGGGTCGGGTTGGATTGGGCTTGAAAAATAAGAAGTAAGTGAATGTAACAATAAGCAGTCGCAAGGAAAACCTGACGATCCAGCACAAAGGGCAGAGTTGGTGTCTGCTGCGTATCGAGTGGTTCTGCTCAAGTGTACGTTTGGTAGACGTTGACGTGTCTACGTGTAAAAGTGCTGTATTTGGCCATCCTATAAAGGTAATGTTAAATTCATTGACGTTTTGTATGTGGCCGATCTGTTACCTTGACAGAGGAGAACATTTTTGGGGACCAGTAAATATTTCGTATCTGAACAGACGAGCGGCGTTTCCAACGTTTCTGTTTCGTGTTCAAGATTATGTAGAACTATCTGTTAGTGGGGAAGGGAGGGGGGGGGGGTGCGTGGTCCCAAGGTATGGCATCCTCCTCGAGTGCTGGAGATCCCAGGTTCAAGCCCTGGTGAAGTCTGGGATTTTTTCATGCAGACTTCTAGTAATTTTCCCTGGTCTCGGAGTAGTAGAACCGGATGCCTGTGTTTACTGTGGCGCAAACAAAAAATACCTTCGCACTGGAAATCTAAAAGAGTAGCATAAGGGCGCAGCCCGGGAAAAATTTGGAGTTTAAAATCTACCCAAAAAGTATTTCAGGATCCTCGCCGGTGGACCGGTGTCCGTGCACTGCGCTGAAATTCTTCATACTCAGGCTTGAGTTAAAAGTAGAACGGAGCACCTATGGGTGCTATGATGTTGATCCGTTGACTAAACTAAACTAAACATCTGTTAGTGTGCATGAGAAGGCTGCTTGCGACCAGAGCTGAAAGAGTCATTACACAGTGTAATTGCTATTCCTTTTGTCCTGATGTTTTTGCGAGCATAATTTATCAGGTTTCATTAGTTACCGTGATGACATAGTGATACGTATGCTGGGACGCCGAGACAGTGGTCATGCTGAATCCCCAAATATGGACCGGCCTTTCCCTGACCAGTCTAGCTGTAGGGTTGACCCAGTCTCATAACGTTAGGTTCTATGTCATTCCCGTGATTCTCTGTGATGGTAAAGCAACTGAGGATAGCGACTGGTCAGATCACGTCATAAGTCTGGCCTAGGATGTTGAAGGGCTTAAATCTTCATACCCCAACAGTTCAGTATTTTTCACGGGGCTACCTTTTTTTAATGTTATATTTCTTAGCTGCACCCCAACGTTGCTCTCTTTCAGTATCAACCTGTCAAAGTTTTGACTCTTTTTCCTTTTTCTTTTTCTGTAGTTTACAGAAGCCTATATTTCCAGAGTGTTAAAAGAATAACACTAGAAACAACAAATATTAGGTGTAATCAGAACTTGATTTTGTGATTATCGGTTATCACATATGCTTTTTTAAATTTTTGTCTAAAGTAAGTAGTATGTTCTTTCATTCGGGAAACTGAAGAAAATAAAAGTTACATGTGTCTGTATATTGTGGTTTTCATTTGTTTCATGGTCTGGCTTGAACACTTAAAAGATGAGTTCCTTGCTAAACGAGACAGTAGGGGATACTCTTGTCGTCGTTTCCATGAATTTCTAAATTCAGAGATTTGTAGTCGAGATGACTAACATCATTGCACCTGGTTTTATTCAGTAAGGTTCGGTGGCGCAGTCTCTGTCCATTGAATGGCTATCCGGCTACCCAGAGCGTCACACGAAACATGAACTTCATAGCTTCAGTGTCGATCCCCTGAAAGAAATAGTCCATGACACAAAACTCTGTGGATTGTTGTGTTCAGACATAATGTTGTATGCAAACGCACACAAATTATGTTGTAATTTGTGTCTGTAATACCGATGTCAATAATGAGCAGCTTGGTCATAGCAATTATGCCGGAAGTCGCACATCAACATATCACAGATGAAATGACGACCATTTCTATCATCTTCAGCTGATCACCATTTGTATCTTTCTATCATCTTCAGCTTATCACCATTTTTATCCATCCCCAGATTGCTCACGGACAAAGCGGGCACTCACAAAGAAAACTGATTACCCGTATGACAATACTGGGGGCAGAATATGTCAACTGTAAGAAAAACATCATCTCTACATTTTGACTCACCTTTCAGAGTGAATTTGTAATTTCAGCGCTAATTATTAAAGGGAAAACGTCAGCTTTTTAAAAGCTCCTAATCAACGTGTTTGTTCTTCTTCATTAGTGTCAGTAAGAATTAAAATACAGCAAGCAATGTGAAGTTTTTCGATATATGTTACATTTCACACGAAGGTAAAATCCTAAAACGTGATGAAACTGTACCTCGGAATTTGGAGTTATATTTAAAGTAGACAAAGAAATTGATTGTTGCGTTGATGAACTGAAGGGAGTTGTTGAGGTTATAGGATAAGTAAAATATATCATGGTACTTTTGATACAAGTTAAAGCCAGGTAGAAAACGACGAGTAAAGCCAAGAAATATTGACGGTGTGTTAGTTGTGATAAAGATAATAGACGTCAAAGTTACAACAAGAACAGCCTGTTTTTCTTTGCGATTTGAGGGAACTTGATCAGAGTCTCTTGTTCCTTCTGGTTTTATTGACGTGATTTCTGTTGCTGCTTCCGTCGAATTGCTACTTCCCTGTTTGTAATTTTTCTGTAATTTAGGTGACGATTTAGCTCTGATGTGTTTTTTTCCCCGTGCATCTGATAAAGACTTCTGGCGAAACGCAACCGAGGCCCGAAGGTTACTGATAAGGACTACCAAACAAGCAATGACTATTATTTCCGGAACTATTCGAAACACAATTCTGCATGTCACATCTGCAAAAGCCAGCACACCATCCCTTCCTTCAGCATAATAAATTACATACACGGTAATATTCGTGTACGGATCGACACGCCAAGCAAGAAACTGTTTACTAAACATTGGAACATAACATGAAAATACTGAAGCGTATACGCAGACAATGCATCCCACGGTCCGGTTACGTGTGAATAGTGCTCTCACTTGGAATGGGAGAGCTACACACAGACACCGTTGAACAGCAATAAAGGTTGTTGTAAATGTCGAAATATCCAGCATCATTTGAAAGTACCAAACAATGAGGTACCCTAACTGAAAGAGATTCACAGGCGACTGCACTGCAAGATATGTAAGAAAAGCATTTATCCGGCTGACAAGAGCTAGGGTCAGCAGGCACAAATCCGAGGCAGACAACGCCAGGAAAGAAATTGATACGGTGTCTTTTAAACCTAAATTTGCATAAATGTAAATATTGCAAATATTTGTCCCTATGCCGAAGATGATAACGCTGAAGTTGATGACATAGGAAATGATGATGTCTAAAATGGTGTATATAAAAGTGGTTGTAGCAAGTCTGATATTGCCATTGTAGCTGTTCAATGGGACGATCGTTGTTGTTCTAATGACATCATCCACAATTTCCCACAATCTTGTAGTAAGTGACATTATAGTTCGCTGCAGAAATCCTGCCCGAATTTTTTTTTTAAATTATGTGACTTAAACACTATTGGGTGTCAGTTGTCGAAACTTAGCATGCAACATGTTAATTATCATGTCCTTGTAAGAATTGTTTTGTAATGTAAACAAACGTCTGGTTTTTATTTTGCCTTATTTGAAGGAATGAAAAAAAAAAAAAAACATACACCGATTCAAAGCAAACAATCAACATGCTTACAGATGAGTGACTTGGGGTAACTTTTAAAAACAACCAGTGAGGTTTATCGGTAGAAAGGATGTGCATTCAACACTCAAGTTAGGGCACAAAACCGTTCAGGAGCAAACAACCAACGGCGTCCCTATTTAGGACGCAATTTGTCGTATTTTGAAACCCCAATCCCGGCTTTTGCCGGGGACCGCAATATACCCTGACGGTTCAAAGCGGTTTATAGGACCTTTCCACGGGTGAACCTCTCCGCATTGTGGCACTTTGTGTCCCCGAGTTTTTATCGCTTTGTGTGATGTCCTGGTCGGCTCTGTGGCTAAGTCGATGCGAACGCTTCGTAGTGCCGGGGTGCCGGGTTCGATCCCAGCTGCGGGCCATGCGCCTTGCGTTGGTTTCGACAGTGGTATCAAGAAAGCCGACCGTCCAGCAGCAATGGCAAACTACTGGACGTAAATTTGCCTAGAGAAACCACACAACAGCCAGGGGCTGCAACGTCCTGTAAAGGATACGCAAAAACTTTTTTTTTACTGTTGTGATGTCCTGGTGGGTTTAAACTTACTAACGTTCAGAAGTGAGCTAAAAACCAGATTTTCCCGCCAAAGTTTGCAACCGCTGAACGCGAAGACGAATCCTTACGTAGACGGAGTTTTTATTTTGTTAAATTGACCTCGACTTCGGGTCAACACAGGCTTAAACAAATAGCAGGTACTTTACTTGCAAGTAAAGATGGCCGACGTCATATTAAGCACATCACCTATCAAGTGCGGATTGATCAATCAAACTATAATGCGTTTCAAAAGTCGTGCTCACACACTTTTACAAATGTCTCGAAAATTGCTGTAGGAATAGATAGGAATATCTGCATGTGGCCTTAAGATTTCCCATGTTCTTATGATTTTATAATTTACAGTTACACTGGTGCTGCTGTTTTCTTGAAGCGACGAACTTTTCAAAAATCTTTCTTTGACTAATAATTTGTGTATCTTAAAAAATAAAATCGACAATAAGACACTAACTGTTTGGAAATAAACTAACATGTGCAGCGATGCTTGGTGATTATTTTTGATGGCATAACCGGCACACACACAAAAATTGTGTTCATCTAATTCGTAGGGGTCTAATGCTGAGATGACTCCACCCCTCCACCACCCTACTACAATTTAACTATCAGGAGTCTAATTCTGAGAGACCCCCCCCCCCCATCTAAATTACAGTAGTCTAATTCTGAGAGACCCCCCCCCCATCTAAAATTACAGTAGTCTAATTCTGAGAGACCCCCCCCCCCCCCCATCTAAATTACAGTAGTCTAATTCTGAGATGACCCCCCCCCCCCCCCCCTTTTTTTTTCCTTTTATTAATTACAGGAGTCTAATTCTGAGATGACCCCACCCCCTTTTCGTTATCTAAATTACAGAAGTCTAATTCTGAGATGACACCCACCCCCCTTTCGTTATCTAAATTACAGAAGTCTAATTCTAAGATGACCCAGTCCCCTTCCCAGCTAACTCGCATGAGTCTAATGCTGACATAACAATCCCCCCGCCCCTTTCCCATCTAACTCGCAGGAGTCTAATGCTGACATAACAATCCCCCCGCCCCTTTCCCATCTAACTCGCATGAGTCTAATGCTGACATAACAATCCCCCCCTGCCCCTTTTCCCATCTAACTCGCAGGAGTCTAATGCTGACATAACAATCCCCCCCCCCCCCTTTCCCATCTAACTCGCATGAGTCTAATGCTGACATAACAATCCCCCGCCCCTTTCCCATCTAACTCGCAGGAGTCTTTGCTGACATAACAATCCCCCGCCCCTTTCCCATCTAACTCGCATGAGTCTAATGCTGACATAACAATCCCCCCCCCCCCTTTCCCATCTAACTCGCAGGAGTCTAATGCTGACATAACAATCCCCCCGCCCCTTTCCAATCTAACTCGCAGGAGTCTAATGCTGACATAACAATCCCCCCCCCCCTTCCTTTCCCATCTAACTCACAGAAGTCTAATGCTGACATAACAATCCCACCCCCCCCCCTCTTTCCCATCTAACTCGCATCAGTCTAATGCTGACATAACAATCCCACCCCCACATTTCCCATCTAACTCGCAGGAGTCTAATGCTGACATAACAATTCCCCCCCCCCCCTTTTCCAATCTAGCTCGCAGGGGTCTAATGCTGACATAAAAAATCCCCCCCCCCCCCCCCCATCTAACTCGCATCAGTCTAATGCTGAGATGACGACCCCCCCCCCTCCCTGGAATTGAAATGCCTGTGAAGCCCGTGCAGTTTGATATTTTTAAAAAGTTCCTGCTGCTCACATAACTGTAAGCATGCTAATTGTTTGGTCTAAATCAATGTCTGTTTTGTTACAAAAAATCCTTTTATTTACCTCAAATACGGCAACATCTAAACTAGATTTTTGTTTATGTACAAAACTTTTTTTTTTCCCAGGCTGCATGCAAAATTTCATCAACTTTCACTGAATGGTTACTGCCTTTTAATTTTGTTTTTGTTTTTTGTGTGTCTGGTAATGTATACCCTATATGCCTGAAGCACTACTGAAACAAAAGAGTTCTTTATTTTATTATGTAATGTAACATAATGTTCCAGAAAGCAATGGCAAACAACTGGACGTAAATTTGCATAGAACATCCATACAACAGCCAGGGGCTGCTGGGGTTGGTTCTGCAACGTCCTGTAAAGAATACGCAGCTAACCTTCAATGTTACATACAAGCGTTAGCACGTTAGAGTACACATACAATATAATCCAACCAGTAGGACAGCGGGTTACTGTGTTACCACAAGGACATTCATATACTGTTTACACTTTTTTTCTATGGATGCCTATCAATATATTACCGGTTAGTTGATTATATGTAATGTTTCCACTGTTTCAAGGGTTCCCCTTGTTTATTTATGTATACCTGTTTCAAACAGGTCATGACAAATAGGATTTCCAGAACCTTCTCGCTTTGTCTTCCTCTGTCTCCCCACCCCCCCCCCCTCACACCCCCCTCACACACACAAATCTTTTCAGTGGCCACAGCGTTTCAGTTCTGCACCCAATCAGCTCCCATCATTGTTCTTATTCTTATGGGAAATTAATCCGTTACATCTAAACAATATTTTTGCTGTTGTAGATTTTTTTTTTTTAATTTACAAAATCTAGAAAAGGCCCATTATTTTTAGTTACAAATATATAGAAATAGCAAGTTTTCCTAGTCATAGAATTTACGAAAGTACAAATTTATCAGTTACAAAATGTACAGATGAAATTTATCAGTACAAATATGAGAACGCAGCTCCATATATTGTAGACCAGTCAACTCTGTGATCGTGATCTGACGTTTTTAGTATTTTGCCAATTAATTAACACGTGGATGTTTTACTGAACACCATGTTCACAGTAATTAAACAGGTGCTGACCCCCCCACCCCCCCCCCCCCCCCCCCCCCCCCCCGGCATTGTGAATATAATTAAAATGAACCAGATGATATGGTAAATTAAAAGTTGCAGTATTTTCATGAAAGCGGGATTTAAACAAATATTATTGAACTGAAGCCGCAGTTACATAGCAGGCGATCGACCACTGACATTAATTTCCCATTGTTTACAATTAGTGATGCGGGACTGTTTCAAATTGAAAAACATATTTGCAAGCTAGTTACTAAATTTTTGCAAGCATCTCCGAATGTTGACATTACCTTTTTGAATGAATTGATTGCAAAGTGGGGAAGTAATTGCGGTTATACTATAGTTCACCAGTCGATAATCTAGACGGGTCGCGTTTACTAAAAACATTTGGTCCGTTAAGTGTGATGAGCAAACGGAGTCTTGTCTGATAATTGTTTGATTATTGATTCGGCGCACGTTGTTATTGCTGCCAGTAAGTGCCTTGTTATTCGTTACTTGTTATCCTTATCGAAATCCTAGCATATAGACCGACTTGCTTGTGGTCCATCTTCCGATGCAGGGATCACGTGGATGCAGTTGCAGTGAAATTCCAAAAAGGACTCAATGATCTCAAGATTATGGCAGCAATGGACATGGAACAAAGAATTTTGTTCACAATGTTCCAGCATGTGATCCTGTCGGTGATAGATTATGGACTTGGCATGCTTACCATATCAAAGAGTCAGCTGATGAAACTTGAACGCATACAGAAGGAAGCCATGCGGGTGATTCTGGGATGTACAAGAGAAATCCCGGTAGTATGTGTGCGATATATACTTGCACTGCCTACTATTGCAGATAGGCTCAAAGTTCTGCAAGCAAAGTCATATCTCAGAGTAGCTGCGGACAAGAGGCACCTCCTGCCATGGATAAAGCTAAGGGTCACAGACTGAAAAGAGGAAAGTCTTGGATGGCGCAAGCTGAAGACACAATTGTACATGTGTACAGGATTGATAAATTTAGGCGAGGTAGAATGGGTCAAAGTGTCCGATCATGTTTCAGACTTGTGTAGGGTTCTAATCACTTTGGGACGTGAGTGCAGAGACTGGCCAGCTGGTGCTGCAGAATAAGACGTTCAACAAATGATTCATGACAATTCCCGCCCAAGCGATGTGATTGTGTATGCAGATGGCTCTGGGTTGAGGGACAGACGAAGTGCATGGGGGTTTATAGCAAAGGTGAATGGACGTCGCTTAGTGCAACAAAGCTTGGCATATGATGTTACAACGTCTAGTTTGAGAATGGAGGTGGAGGCAGTCACTGCTGCCTTCCGCTGGCTTGAGAATCAGCTGTACACACATGTCGTCATTGTAACTGACTCATAGAACA